CTCTATCTTGTCATGTATACAAGGTGAAGACAATGTTTCCCAGGGGTATTTGGGGGGCAGAGCCCCCTATCAATCTTCCCAATCACAGCAACTTAGATTATTGTATGAATTTTGTGACATGGACTTGGCCTTATCCATCCATACTGTAAAGAATTATCTAGCCTCCTGCATTAGAATTATAATGACTAATTCTGTGTATATCATTCTTATTTTACCCTGTAATTTCCCTGGTACCTCCCATGCCCCCCCCCCTGCTATCGCGGCCAATATTGTCGCTAACGGGAGATTTCTACAGCATAATTTCGATATATTTGGATAGTAAAGAGTGAGTCAATCTATACCCAAATAGTCGCGATCTGTTATGCGAAGGTATTCAGAAAAATTACTACGTATTATGATATAAAACAGAATGAGGTAGTTTCGGCAGAAATGTTACACAATTCTGGCCATGCCCAAAATTAAATCATCAACAAATACACGAATAACAACATGGATGAAGAGCAAAGAAGGTCACTGTTACATTCAAAGTTTGGATAATACTCATACATAACAAAAAAAACAAAAAAACTCACAAGTGGGTCAAAGAAAAACGAAAATAGGACGGAAATATGAAAATCCCGCTACCTTCTGTTTACGTCTTCCCGCGGTAAGAAACAATTGTCTATTCGAAGTTCGAATGTATTCAGATTTCTGCTTTCTTCTGGTCTTGTCCTGTATATTATTATTGTTCATTAAGCTTCAGCTTAGCGTAAAGGTATGGCAATTTTGTTTAGGCACAAGAAAATTAACATAAATGATTATTGTAATAAGAGATTAGGAATCAATTTTGTTTAGGCACAAGAAAATTATCATAAATGATTATTGTAATAAGAGATTAGGAATCAACCGACTCATTTTTCTTCATGGTTTTAATAAATGTATTTAACTTTAAAGGTTCTAAATACTTGAATACTTCACCAAAAATATTGGATGTTTGTCTGTATGTTTAGCAGGGTTACTTAAAAACTTGTGGACTGTATGGGAATTTTATAGATGAGTTGGCCATGTGCCAGAAACCAGTTGATTTAATCTGCAATTGAAATAAAAGTTTTAAATAGGACGTACAAACGGATATTGAAAATATGCCTAATGCCGATAGGGGTCCAATTTGCTTTTAAAATATTGTGGATTTCCGTATTTTCATAGCATTTTCACTTTCTCTCTCCGTCTCTTTCCTCCCTCCCTCTCTTCTCCCCAGCTCTCTCTCTCTCTCTTTCTCTCCTCCCCCTTTCTCTCTCTTTCCTTCCCTCCCTCTCTCTCTCCACCCCCTCTCTCTCCTTCCCCCCTCTCTCTCTCCCTTTCCCCTCCTCTCTCTCTCCCTGCTCCCTCTCTTTCTCTTCCCTTCTCTCTCCCCTCCCCCTCTCTCTTCTCTCTCTCTTTCTCTCTTTTCTCTCTTCCCCTCTCTCTTTTTTCTCCCTCCCCTCCCCCTCTCTCTTTCTCTTCTTGTTCTCTTCTTTATCTGCGCTCGAGTAGTGTGTGTGTGTGTGTATGTGTACGAGAGAGAGAGAGAGAGAGAGAAGAGAGAGAGAGAGAGAGAGAGAGAGAGAGAGAGAGAGAGAGAGAGAGAGAGAGAGAGAGAGAGAGAGCATAGATCTAGTGTATACATACATCCTTGCATACATACCTAACATATACATACATACACGCATCCATAGGTAAACACACACACACACACACACACACACACACACACACACACACACACACACCACACACACACACACACACACACACATATAGCACAGCACAGCAGCAGGTATCTGCGGCATACCAGCTGAACTGTTAAAGGCTGGTGGTGAACCTATGGCGGGGGTGGGGTACATGCTGTCCTGGCTGCCATCTGGCGTCCGGTTCCGTTCCTCCTGACCTGTTGAGGGTGTGTGGTCATCCTCTCTGGAAGGGGAAGGGGGACCGTTGGGACTGCAGCAATCACCGAGGCATCACACTGCTCAGTATACCAGGCAAGGTTCTCGCCCACATCCTTCTGAGACGTATCAGAGACCATCTACTGAGGCACCAGAGCAATCCGGATTCACTCCTGGTAAGTCCACAATAGACCGTATCCTCGCGCTTCGAGTCATTGTAGAGCGCCGTCGTGAGTTCGGGCGTGGGCTGCTTGCAGCCTACATCGACAAGAAGGCGTTCGATACGGTGCATCGGGAGTCACTTTGGGAGATCCTGAGGCTGAGAGGAATACCAACAAGGATTATTGGACTAATAGCAAGCCTGTATACTGGTACTGAAAGTGCTGTAAAGTGTGGTGGGGGCCTGTCGAGCTTCTTTCCTGTTAGTTCAGGAGTGAGGCAAGGCTGTGTCCTTGCACCAACTCTTTTCAACACTTGCATGGACTGGATACTGGGCAGAGCTACTGTTCAAAGTCATTGTGGGCAACGCTGGGCAATATCAAGGTTACAGACCTTGACTTTGCTGATGACGTTGCCATTCTGAGTCTTTGGAAACCCTAGTGGCGGCTCTCGATGCATTTAGCAATGAAGCGAAGCCCTGGGTCTAGAGGTCTCCTGGACCAAGACCAAGGTCCAGGAATTTGGGGACTTAGGAGAACCTGTTCAGTCGGTACGTGCTTGCGGCGAGGACATTGAAGTCACAGAGAGCTTTACATACCTTGGTAGTGTAGTTCATAACTCTGGGCTGTCAGACCATGAAGTCAGCAGACGGATTGGCCTGGCAGCAGGGGTCATGAACTCTCTCAACAAGAGTATTTGGAGATGTCGGTACCTGTGCAGAAGGACCAAGCTACGGGTTTTCAAGGCCCTGATAATGCCAGTTTTGCTATACGGTAGCGAAACCTGGACATTGTCCTGTGCCTTGGAGGCTCGTCTTGAAGCCTTTTGCGGTCGCGATCATGGGGTACTGTTGGCGGGACCATGTGTCCAACCAACGGTTGCACCGTGAGACTGGCACAAGCCTGTTATCTGCACAATCCGTGATCGCCAACTCAGGCTATACGGCCACCTGGCTCGCTTTCCTCAGGATGATCCTGCCCATCAGGTCGTCTCTGTTCGAGACAACCCTGGGTGGAGGAGGCCTGTGGGACGACCGAGGAAGTCGTGGCTTGGGCAGATCGACCAAAACCTGCCGTGAAGAACTAGAGATGGGCCGAGTCCCTGGCGCTGCCATGAGGGATCCTCGTAGGTGGAAGCGAATGGATGCACCCCCGTCGGCGTCAGCCCCTTGATATGATGATATATATATATATATATATATATATATATATATATTATATATATATATATATATATTGTAAGAGCTCTTATGCTGGACCCTGCAATGTTTGGTAGATGGCGATCTGAGGTTTTAAGATAGACAACCAAGTTGTCCTGACTCCTTTTATAAATAGTTATGGTAGAAAAACCCACAATGTACAAACTAGATTTGTTGAAGGAAGTGAGACAACAGTTTCGGAATCGTCCTCGATTCCATTTTCGGACCCGAAGATGGAATCGAGGACGATTCCGAAACTGTTGTCTCACTTTTTTCAGTAAATCTAGTTTGTACATTGTGGGGTTTTCTACCATAGTATCAACACGGTAGTGTGTTCTTTCTATTCATAAATAGTTATGTTAAAGTGCAGCTGCTCCTCGGAGCGAGGTGTTGCTCCGAGGCTCCACGAAAGGAGTCTGCCTGATCTCCTATACAGCGGTCTAACGATCGCTTTAAGTCACGTTGTTAGCATGTGACGAACAAGCAAGCGCTACATCATTACATGGGATAGACAGCACATCATTGGAATGGCTAGTGTGGTAAGAAGGAATAAGCAGGTAAAGCAGTGGATATGTATGTATGTGTGAAGATACGTATGTGACAATCATGTAAGATTATATAAATATGTAGAATATAGATATAATTAGATATAGATATAGCTGTGTTACACACACACACACACACACAATATATATAATATATATATATATATATATATATATATGTATGATATGCGTGTGTGTAGTATATATATATATATATACATATATATTTATATATATATTATTATATATATTATATATATATGTATGTCTGATTATTGCGTGTGTGTATGTATATATATATAATTATATATATATATATATATATATGGTGGTGTGTGTGTGTGTGTGTGTGTGTGTGTGTGTGTGTGTGTGTGTGTGTGTGTGTGTGCAAACAATATTTTAGGTTCGGATGGTATGTTTAGCACCTCTGTCCTTAACAACTGCCTACTCCTTCAGCGGAATTGGGTGTCCTCACTGCTTTCATTTCTGAAAGGACACAGCTTGCCAGGCAGAAGAGAGAGAGAAGAACGGCAGACAGACGAAGACACTCAGCCCTCGGCAACCGCCACTCTCATTCATATCCAGTGGTAAGCTGGTCTTACGTTCACATCTAATGCCACCAAGCTCGTCGGTCACCCTGTGTATGTGTATGTGTGTGTGTTTACATTTATATATATATATATAATATATATATATATATATAATATTATATATGTATATATAATATATATATATGTATATATAATATATATATACATATATAATATGTATATATGTAATATATATATGTGTATATTCAAATGTATACATACGTATATATATAATATACATGCATACCCCACACCACACAAACATGTTCATAAATGTGTGTGAATCAATTGATAATGAAATGAGTATGCACACACGGGTACACACACACACACGCACATATGTGTGCATCGTGTGTGTGTGTGTGTGTGTGTGTGTGTGTGTGTGTGTGTGTGTGTGTGTGTGTGTGTGTGTGTGTGTGTGTGTGTGTGTGAGCGCACGCTTTGTGAGAATACACGCACACACACATACAGACACACATACACACACATGCACACACACACATGCACACACAACACACAAACACACACATACACATACACCCACTCATATATCTATATCTATTTATATACACACACACTCATTGTGTATGTATATAATATATATATATTATATATATTATATAGTATATATATATATATATATATATACACCTGAGTTGTGTTTGTGTGTGTGTGTTTATGTATATATGTATGTATGTATATATTATATATTATATTATATATATATATATATATATATATACACACACACATACATATGTATACATATGTATACATCTGTACACACACATGAGCTCATAAGCGTCAGAGCATTTGGTGATAACGTATACACGAAAATGGGGAAGTAAGTGTTTGGCTCACTACATTCCATTGTTTCACTGTGATATCAGATACAGTATCTCTCAACCACGGGCGGTGTGCTGAGAGGCGTCAAATATCTGCTTACTCGTACCAAGGGCACAGGTAAGGTAAGGTTTTCTGTTTATGCAATAAATCCTTCAGAATATGATAACACTTTTCTAAATTTTCGTTTAGAGAATGTTAATAATTTAGTATGATGTTAAATATCATTATAGTAACAGATTATGAGGATAATAGTGTTTACTTTTGTCTTGATTTGTGATCCCGTGAAATGATTGCAATCAGTCATCAGCTGACAACGGTTTGTTTACATGTAAGTGTCAAATCTCTGTAGGCGGGTCTCATCGCTTCAGGTGAAAAGTCTTAGTGTAATGAACCTGCCGGTTAAACAGTAGTCCA